AACACCTCTTTTGTCATAATTGATTAGGTGCTAAGTCATAATGGGTATTTTCTGTACAATTAGTACCAGTATAGTACCCGAAAAATATAAATTAATAAGTACTAATACATCAGAATGAATATAAAGCTCCTATCGTACTATTTTAGAAAGAAAACTGTTTGTATATTTGATGATTCATATTTCAACCTTTCAGATTTGATTTACTTGACTGAGAATCTGCTCCTATCTATACTGTAGGCTATACACTTTTCTTTCATGAATATGAAAATAATTTCCAGTGGCTGAGCGGTTTTGTCATAGCTTTGAACCAACCTAAGAGGAGTGAGACGGTATTGCAGCCATCTTTTAGGGATTTGTCAGCCTGCAGTAACTTATGCAAAACTTGAGATGATTTTGGATCTCAAGTTGTGCTTTGAGGTAATAATTTACAGAACAAAAACAACAAAACCCCAAGAAGACAGTTTCATATCAAAGTTGATACTTTTATATTGTACAACTGTGCTAAACATCATCAGTTCTCTACAGCACTTTATATAGAAAATACATGATCACCTATATTAAGAAGCATTTGCACCTATGTCTTCTCAGTTGCGATAAGGAATAGGAAGTGCCTTTCTGGCTGCTTAGAAAAAAAAGAAAGAAAAAAAAAAAAAGGTAGAATTGCTCCTTTTGTGCATCAAAAGCTAGTCAGGAAAAAAATTACAATGTTGGCTCAATTTTCTTTTTCAAACAGTTGTATAAGTAAAATAAAACAATTTTATTGTATAACAGGCAGTCATGTACTTTATTTGTTTAATGCATATGGCAGCCTTGGATTCACTGCAAGACATGGCAAACAAGTTCGCATCCAGATTAATTTTAGTATTTGTAGAACGCACTAATAAAGGTTTACAATAAAAGTCACCTTTTCATCATTGCAAAGAATATAGTTAAAAGAACACTACTGTACCTGCAAAGCTTGCCAGTGTTACAGTATTAGTGAGCATTTCTGAGGTTGCACCAACAAAAATAAAATAAAAATTAAGGTTTTGTTCATGAGAAAAGGACAAGACAGACAGATAACGTGGCTGCCACCAAAACAACAGCAAACAGCAATAAGAGCACAAAGATCAAACTGCGCTGGCATAGAGGCTCGTGTCCAGGCTGCTCCTCGTCAACGCTGAGCAGAGCCAGCGAGGCGCTCTCGGTGCTGCTGAGCGGGTCTGCGTATTGTGGCCCCCGGGGCTCCACCATCCAGCGCAACACATTTACTTTTTTCTCCATGTCATCAATCATGTGGTCGATTTGGCTGATTTCCTGCTCCATGGTGCTCCGTTCCTGGCTCTCAAGACCAGCAGGAAGGGTTGGAGGCTCCTGGTTCAAGTCTGCCAAACTGAGTGCTCGAGCTGCTACCTCACTGCCTCCTCCTGCATTACCAGAAACAAATTTTAGCTTTCCATTTTCTTTTGGCTTTTACAACTCAACAATGGATTTGTAAAATGTGGCAGAAGCTTTCCACTTCATCATGAAGGGAAACAAAATGTGAATATTTGAACAAAATCTCATGGCAATCCTCATTGCTTAAAAATTCTAATGTAATATTGTCACAGTGGCACTACAGAGGAATAAATAAATCAGCAGCATCCAACATCTGGGGGCCATTAATACCTGAACCAGTCCATTTAAAAGTTGGGAAAACATTGTGTATCAGTGTGATGGACCAACTCAAGCACAGCTCCACACACTTTACTTGTATCCATCAATGATAACAGAAAAAAATAATAGTAAACTGAATAAATGCAGGGCTAGAGTCCAAATATTTCACCTTTACTGATGCCACAGGACATTCACATGAGATACTCTAAAATATCAGCACACTGGCAGATTTGAGCATATTAATTCTGATAAAATATTATCTGCAGAGTATGAAAAACAGCTAAATAATTTACATTACAATCCAAAACATTTTCCCCTCCATGTGTAGTCATCGAGTCTTACAACATACAATAATAGAGTTTCCTCTGCATTCACTCTAAAACAACCTCTGAAGACTAAAGTAGTGCAGTTATTTTGCAGTTTTCTTGGTTTTGCTTAAAGTTCGATTCCGGTTGACGACACAGCTTGCATATAGTAGCAGCAGTATGTGAAAGGCTTGCATTTACCTTGTAAACCAGTCTGCACCAAGGAAGCAGTGTTAGCCAGGGAGAAGTTGTCACCTATGCTGAAAACCTTGCACATGTCAACATGGAGCAGTTCTAGACTGGAGGAGAAGGCCACCCAGAGGAGCTCCATCTCCTTGCGCTGGTCCTCGGGCAGGCTCTTATCCCGCAGATGTGAGGTCAGATGCAGACGGATGGCCTCGGCCAAATTCAGGGCCTTTTCTCGCGTTTGTCTCAGCTCATCCCGCAGCTGCAAACTGTCTGTGCAGCCACCAACACATGCAGCCAAATGCCGGTAACATGCTACCACCTGTAACAAAGATTTGACAGTGTTTGGTAATATGCAGAGCTCAGGAACTCCTAGTTAAACAAAAGTATTCCAGATAATTCCCCTCCAAGATGGCCAAACTCCAAGTTTGCAAGAGGAATGGGCTTTTTTGTTTTTCATAGTAGGGACATGCCCTTGCTGTCCATATCACCTGCTGTATTTAGATCACTAATCTTAATTAGGTATTGCACATCATTAACCTTCTGAGCAGCTACTCTCTGCTAAACACTTCACCAACCCACACATATATAATCAGAGTACCAAAACTGAAAGAAAACTCAACTGTTTGGGGGAAAAAGCTGATCGAGCTGAACATTAGTCATCTTAACCTGCTTGAAACAGTAACTAAAGTGCAGAAAAACGTACACGTTTTGTTTTCTGATCTAAATCATACTGCAAGAATTATTTACTTTCAGCCGATACATTTAACCTTGGGGGGAGAGAGATTAGCAGGTGGTTTCATTCATTAAAAATATTAGAAATAATCTCATTAACATTGATCTATTTCTAGATAAGCCAAAGCAACCTCGTGTACTCTGAGTGGCCCATTTTCCTAGCGCGCACTGGTGACGGTAAAACCACAGATGTGCTATACCATTCTTAAATTGTAATGTTTACTTTGAAAATAGGTTATATTAAATATTAACACCATCTTGTCATTTTCTGCACTTCATTTGTGGCTGCTTACACCAATTAATGAGTAGAAATACTACCATCGACATCTAGGTACAAGGAAAATAAGATGCAAAATGCCATTGTGCAAACATCCTTTATCATACTGACAAAAATAACTTTAAAATTAAACAGTTGATGTTAATGGGGAGAAAATGTCGAACATGTCCACGGCATTATCTAACGCCGGAGAGTCGCACATACTCAGTGGACCAAGAAATTCTTTTCAGTGAGAGTGCACTTTTAGCCACAGGGGTCTGGAATAAAGGATGTTACTTTCCCCCCTTTTTGTGCATGTACTCTGTGTAAAATGTTTATGTGGCGACGGCTATAGAACTGAAACCAAATGAGTTCATTTTTCCATACGTTTTATATTCTCATGCAATACTGAACTCTTTACATCCCAAGTATTCACATGAAATTCTGGAAATTACTGCTGTGTACAAACCAACTTCCCAGCCGTTTTTCATATTCATTTCCACAAATCTGTTAGACTGGTACATAAACATGCAAATACAGCGTAGTAGAAAAATGTAAAGGAGACTAGAGTGAGGTCAGAGCTTTCTTTATGACCAGAAGAGAAGACTTGCAGCAACTTACCTTTATCACAGAATCCACCAGATCCTTCCCATCAGCCAAAGTCTTGTCTGCGCCAACTGTGCAGTCATTACCCACTTTGTTATTTAAAAGTGGCATGAGGGATGACTTGTCCAGAGTCTAGGACTCTGCCACAGCAGACAAGAGTTTGGCCCAGCTACCTTTTACTTCTCTGGCTGCCACTGCTCCTCTTCTTCCCCTGGAAGATTCTTCATTCAGTGGCTGAGGGTCGAGACAAACTCAGTCCCAAGGCAGCATGATGCACAACAACCCTGCAGCAACTATATTGCAATTACAGGTCCTAAACATGCTATGGATGCTGGAGTGGGGAAAAGTCAAAGTAATGAAGAAAAATGACAAAAATGATAATAAAATGATGTAACTGTTAAGCAAGGTGCTAATCCTGTGATTGACCCCTTTGCACTGACGCAGGCTAAGACAGGCAGCTAATCTTATTAACCATCAACGATACCAGAGAGGAGAGCAGCTGGCTGCCTACCACAATGGCCCCTTCACTAACTGAGGAGGAGGCTGTGCTCTGTTACTTCAAGCACACCACAGTGGCTACACCTCCTTCACTCAGCTGTAAAGGTCAATAAACTCCATAAATATTTTATAAGCATGTTGGAAATGTGTTGTACATTGTACTAGGTGAGAATTAAAGATTTGAATTGACTGTGTGTAAAGATAAACTAATAAGCAGATTAGAAAGCACACTGATGCACTTAAGAGCATTGAAAGTTGTAGATGATTGCTTTGTCCTATCAAGGTTCTTTGTGGTTTACTTTCCCCTGAAGGCTCTGGAAAATGGATGGCCTCATTTTGAACAGCTCCACGTACTGAATGCATGCTTAGAAGAAGCAGGTTATATTTCTATAGCAGTGGATGCAGAAGGAGCTTTTTCATGTGGAAAAAAAAAGTCTTTAGACCAAATAAAAAGGACAGCACATATACGGTGAGAGTGAACTCGCTTTACACCAATGTAGCTTTGAAACGAAGCCTTCTAAAAAGAGGAGGAGATTGCTTAGATTTTCTGTGCATCTTCATATGTAAAGCATTAAGTATACAATTTTATTTTATTTTTAAAAAACAAACTATAGCACAAGACACGCACACAAAAATACACATTTCATTCTCAGTTTCAGGGGATTTTCGTCAAATCCGAGGGAACTTCTTAAAAACCAAATGCAATTTTCCTCAGTTGAAAGGAGGACATTTTCATGCACTAACCGGGTGAGTGCAGTTGTTGTACAGCTACTGGGCTTTCAATGGTGTACAGTCTTGCCCGTTTTCCTCAGTGTTCGGGCAGACGTTCCCTTCCGTGGTGATGTGACAGCCTCCCTGATGTTGGCGAGAAGGCCTCGCTTAGTCTTTGCTTGCACAGGGGACTTCTGGGAGAGCTTGGCAACTTCTGCCTTCAGCGAGACAATCTCCTTGTCTTTTTCCACATTTTGCTGTAGGATCTCTTCCATGGATTTTTTCTTTAAAAATAAATAATAATTTCATATGATATAGACAGGCATTATTTGTGCTGTGAGAAAAGTATTTGCTGCTTCTTGATTTCTCCTTTTTTAATTTTTCTGGTCATGTGTAAGAAAGTAATTGCTCCATCAATCTAATATCTGGTTGTGCCACCCTTGGTAGCAAGAACATGTTGTGTACTCCGGCTGTGCATCATCTCACCTGATCATCAGCCGTCCTCTGCAGAGCCTCAAGATCAGCTGATTTCTCCATAAAACCATCTCTGACCTTCTGTAGTGTTTCATTAAGCTCCATCAGCCTTTTCTCCAGCGACAAAATTAGCTGACGAGCAAACATCAACACAGACATAATTACATAGCCAATCAGAGCCAGTGTTTAACTGGAAAGTTTTGTCCTTGTTACCTGTTGTTTATCCTCACACATCCGCTCTATGGCACATTTCTCTCTGTGAAGGCGCCTGTATCGATCATCTCCTGTGTAGGGTTGAATTTGCTGCCGTTTTAATAAATGCTGGCCTCATGATGAAAAAGCTAAAACTTAATTGCAAATAAAAATTACAACAAATGAAGAGCAGGAAACTTAAAATCAAAAATCAAGGAAACCACTTTCCCATTAAACTGAAGTTTTTCTTCCCACTGTTCCCAAGTGCTTGCTCATAGAGGGTCATCTAGTTATTGGGGTTTTCTCTGCATTCTTGTGGGGTCTCAACCTTTCAATATAAACTGCTTCGAGGTGACTGTTGAGATTTTGCGCTATAAAAAGAAAATTGAACGGATTCAAGTTTTTTGTATTTTGGAAGGGGTTCTTTTTTTAATCCTTTCGAAAATTTAAAATGGTCCTTATTCATAAATATACTTAAAACTACTAAATAATTTCATCAGTCTCTAAAACCTTGAGGCACTACATTTCTCAAAAATCATTGCATTTGTCAACTTTCTAAGTTCCTATTGTTATTTCAAGGAAGTTTAAAAAGTAAATTCTAAAAAAAAAAAAAGTCTAAAAGTAAAACTCTACTCAAGTCTTGATTGTTTTATATGTACTGTGATGGTGTACAAAGTAGAGCAACGATGAGAAATGTGTGCCACCATCCAAAGGAAAATTCACATCTATGAAACAAGACAAAAAACCCATTAACTGGACCAACCTGCTTCTCCTGCCTCTTTCAGTGGTTCAGTCTGGCTCGATTGATCCACGGTTGGAGCAGCAGGAACTACACCGGTCCTCGAAGTCAAGGCCTCCAACTCTGACACTTTACGCCTGAGGGCCTACACAGTCAAGAAGAGTCAAAGCTGTTGTATTCATCATCAGTATCTCAGGGTGTTGGCTACTTAAATTGTCAGCATAGCTAATGTGCAGTTTACCGATTGAGCCATTGTTTGACAAATCTTTTATTCAAGATTCCCTTACATCAATACACAAGTGAATTTAGCAAGACCCTGGGAAAAAGTTTAGACGGGATATTTCAACAGCCAACTGAAACATACCTCCACTTTCTCCTGTTCTGCAGTGAACTCATCGAGCGGTACATAGTTATCCTCCAGATTGGTCATAGCGCTGTGATAAGCATGTTCTTTAATAGCATCCTTGTACATCTCAAATGTGTTTTCCAGTTTATCCCGGTAGCTCTCCTTCAGCTCTTCGATCTGACGACTTCACAGTTGCAGAAGATAATATTGGAAAATGATCAACTTCACCTGAAATCACTACCAACAGCATACACATTTATGGAAGATCGCTGGCCCGCTTTTGCAAAACTGCACATACTTGCGGAGTTCTTCACTTTCCATCAGCTGCTGCAACATGGCGTCTCCCATTTCTTTGCGAATTTCGATTTCTTGCAGCAGGTTTTTTCTTCGCTCAGCCAGTAGCTTTGTTCTTAAATTCTCAACCACATTCAAAAGTTCCTATAAAAAAAAATAAAAGATTGAAACAAATGAACGTTAATATTAGAAATGAGACAAAAAACAAAACAATTTCTATTATCTTAGCCATTATCTTTCAAGAACATGAGTACAGGCATGCCGCTGCTACTTTCAAGCTACAGTTGGGCATAGGGCATGCTTTCAGCTAAATCAGTGTTTAAAAGGAAGACTTTTTTTTTTTTTTTTTTTTTTTTTTACACTCTGTGGCAACAAAGACATGTCAGCCTCCTCTTCTTCATCAAGCAGTTCATCTTCAGAAAGGTAACTCTGCAGGACGTCGCTGTCAAACACCCCATTCCTCAGCAGGGGCTTGCCATCACGACCTACGAGACGAGGAGCCAGAGATTCTAGAGCCTTATCTGGGATCACCTGCACCACCTACACAAATCAGAGCTGAGATCAGTGCTTCACGTCACCAAGGCCTTTTCTGCATTTTGAACTCGGGCTAACCTGTTTGGCAACAGCTGAGAACTTCATGACATGGAGAGTCTCGTCATAGGTGGAAGCACACTGGTTAATGTTGACAATCATGGAGGGCCTTCCCTTCCCGCAGAAGAAAGCCTGGAACAGCTTGGTGAGCTTGCTTTCTCGGAAGGGGATGCTCCTCGTTCTGATGGATGACAACATAAAAGCATGCAAAAGGTTTAAAAACACATAACCATCCGACATGAAGGTTCATTTATTCCTTCGCCAACACCATAACCAACATACAATAACGCTAACGAGGACAAGATGTGACAAAAGTTACATTACTTAAAACAAACAAAAGCTTTAGCATTTTGTGTCAACACTCATGTTTGCTCTGGTGGTGATAGTCTCACTGTACCTGTCAGGCCCACTGTTGCGGAGCGCAGTGATACACTTCCCCAAAATAAGCAGGGAATTATTAATGTTACCCGCCTCCTTAAGCCTCTCTCCAAAAGTCTTTGTTTTGTTGCATCTTTCTGAGCCGGCCAGATCACAGAGAGAGAACCTGCAAGAGAAACAAACAGAAGAATCATAGTTTCACAATTTATGTTTACAAAAAAAGGTGGACATGTTAGTGCCTCAGTCCCAGCAATGAATCAGAGTTATCACCTAATAACTCCCGCTGAAGGCCCCAAAACATTCCCTTAGGGAAACTCATTTCATGTGATCCATTTTATTTTCCTGTACTTGAAGAGCCATTTTAGTTTAAAAAACCACTATGAGAAGCACTTCTATAGCAAAGATGCAAGATAAATATCACGTTGACACAATATTCCATTTTTTGCACCATTTTTAACTGCACTATT